CGCAGCCCTGCCTGCCCTGCCTGCCCTGCCTGCCCTGCCTGCCCTCACCTTTGTGGCAGTAGTCGTTGACGTAGAGCTCCATGTCCTCGGCCAGCTGCTGCCACAGCACCAGGTAGTAGGTGATGTTGCCATTGCGCTGCGTGGGCGGCTTCCAACGCACCACGATGTGGGAGGAGGAGTTGGACATGGAGATGACGTCTCGAGGCACCGTTGGGGCTGGACGGACACGGGGGTTTCAGCCCGTCTTTGGGGGGCCACCACGGGCATCCCCGGCCCCCTCGCCAGCCCCTTACCCGCCGGCATGGTGCGGATGTAGACCACCTCGCTCTGCGCCCCGTAGTTCCGTCCTTCCTCGGCGGTGGGTGAGGTTGAGGGTGATGGCGCGGACGAAGATGGCGTATTGGGTCCAGGGGCGGAGGTTGAGCAGGGCCACCCCCGGCGCCTGCTCGCTGCTGAGCGGCAGCTCCACGTCCAGCACATTCCAGCTCTGCGCCCCGCAGGCGTCCTGCCCCACGTACTCTGACACATTCTGGAAGGGTCTGCCCCACACCGGGCATCGGGGGGGCGTCCCGGGACCCCCTCCCAGCCGCACGACCCCCCCCTGAGGTCCAGCAGCCCACCAGCGCACAAGGACACCATGGGCTGGGGTCCCCAAGCCCTCTGCCATGGGGACAAGTGGGGGATGGGGACCACTTACGACTCCTTGTAGTAGACAATGAAGCTGAGGAGGTCCCGGTACTCGGGGGGCCGGTACCGCTCCCACTTGAGGAAGATGCGGTCGGACTCGGTGACGTTGGAGATGAAGCGCAGGGTCTGGGTCTTGCCTGTGGAGGGGTGGCAGGGTTCGGACAGGGGGCCACGGAGCTGCCGGATGTCCCCGTCCCCGTACTCACAGGACGCCCGGTCCCCGTTGGTGCGGGGGTTGATCTCCGCCTTGTTCTGCCGCCCCTTGGTGCCCGTCACCTCCTCCATGCGGTAGATCTCGGCCAGGCACAGCTTGGGGTTGAAGGCGAAGTACATCTTGCCCACGGGGATGGAGAGGACGTGGTGGCTCCAGTCCCAGAGCTGCTGCAGGTTCTGGTTGTCCAGGACGTACAGGGTGTAATTCCTGGAGGACAAGACGTGGACCGGGGCGGTGGGCACGGGCACCCCCAAAGCCACGTGTGTCCCCCAAACCCACACCCCGTCCTCACCCGTCCACCATGGAGTCGCCGCGGATCAGCTTGAGGTTCTTGAAGAAGGACAAGGAGACGAGGGCGAAGGAGTGCTTGATCTTCAGGAAGCCCGTGATGGTCTCGATGAGCCCCAGACTGCTCTGCAGCTCCGAGGCCAGGTTGTCTGGGGACAACCCACGGGCGTGAGCTCAGGGAGGGGGTCACCCCCCCGTTAATTCACCCTGCAAGGGAAAAGACCCCCCCTCCTTCACCCCCCCCACACCCCGCGGCAGCTCTCCCACCCAGGGCGGGTTGCGGGGAGGGCCGGCTCCGGCACTCACAGCCCCGGCGGATGTTCACGATGAGGTTGCCCTCGACAAGGGTGCAGCCCCCCAGCTCCTGTGCCGCCCGCGTCGAATCGATGGTCTTGGTGCCCACCTTGCACTCCTTGGGGCACAGCCCCTCGCATTTGTGGCAGAAGATGCTGCAGGCAGGAGGACGGGGATGGGACGTGAGCTGGGCACCATGCCACCGCTGTGCCCGTGGGCCCGGGGGCCCCGGGGACCCACGACCCCCCCCCCCCCCCCCCCCCGACCTGCTCTCATTCCTGGTGTAGCCCGAGGGACACTCGGAGAGGCACTGTCGCTGGTGGATGACGAACTTGGAGGCATCGCGGGGGTTGTCGGAGACCTTGCGGAGGCTGGCGCAGTACTCGGCGGTGACGCAGCGCCAGCCCTCGTACTCGTAGGTGCGGGGCGGGCAGGAGGGCAGGCAGTGCCCGTTGAAGTGGAAGTGGCGGCAGGCGACGCAGGCTCGGTTGTCGCGGGGTCGCCCGCAGCCCCCCAAACACTCGGCGTGGCAGCACTCGCCCGGCCCCCTGGAGCCCGGGAGCGCGGCCGACGGGCAA